AAGCATGCGGATGAGGGCATGGTCGGAGTAGCACGCTACCAAGACGGCATCATGAGTCGCAGCGAGGGGCAGGACGGCGCGAGCGGCGGCCGCGGCTGACATCACGTTATCGAAGCTACCTTCGATGGCCGAGGGCGCCGGCCTAGGCGCCGTGAAGCCTGTGACGAGGACGTCTGGGGGTAATTGGCTCTCGACCATGGCGACGCAGGCGTCGGTCATGGCGCGGGTGCTGTTTGGGTTGATGAGGAGGATGCGGATCTTCTTCTGACTCTTTTGGGGCGCGATATCATTGCTTGCAGCTCCGTGGTGATTCTCGGCTGTAGATGAGAGCTTGGGAGGCTCTACGACGCCGGTTTGTTCTGTGATGCGAGCATAATGCTCCACGCGACGATGTCTGGCAAAATCAAATGTGCGCTCCTTACCCGGCCGGCACTCGGCCAGGTCGATTTCCGCATAGACGACCTCATCCTCCGTCGTAGAGGCCTCAGCGATGAGCTCGCCCTCCGGACCTGTGATGCAGCTGCCGCCAATGAGGTCGTACTTCCCGTCATCGAGACCGCACCTCGCAGCGCTGATGCTGAAGCAGGCATTCGTGTAGCTATGAGCTTGCATCACCAACTTGTGGTGGAAAAGTGCCTTGCTCCGCGCCTCGTCCGGGTCCATACTGGCGCTGGTTCCCCAGAGATGCGGCGCGAAGCCGGCCGTGTTGTAGCCGCACAGTACAACCTCGACACCCTGTAGGCCCAGGACGCGCCAGCTCTCAGCCCATCTCCTGTCGTTGCAGATCATCATGCCGAAGATGGGATCCCCGCGCTCCGGCGCCGTCTCCAGTGCCGTCAGATCGGGTACCCGGAACGCATTGAAGCCGAGGTCTCCAGGTTTGAAGTAGCGCTTCTCCAGCTGGTTGGTGGCATCCGGGTCCGCAAAGGGCTCAAAGTCGCCCGGAAGATGGATCTTGCGGTACTTTGAGAGGATGGAGCCGCTCTTTGCGTGGTAGTAGATGCAGGAGTTGAAGGTTTCGCCGTTGTCGGCCTTTTCGGCAAAGCCGACCGAGATGTCAACGCCCAGCTGGATGGCCTTATCGAACAGCGGCTTTGTCTGCGGCTGAGTCGCTACATCGCCGTGCTCGAAGAAGGAGTCGAGCTCCGAGGGGTCATTGATCAGATGCCGGGGAAAGAAGGTTGTGAAGGCGGCTTCAGGGAAGAGAATCAGCTGTGCTCCCTTTGCGGCTGCGTCTTCAAGAAGTGATATCATGCGATTCAGTGTCTTGGGCCGGGTGTCGTTGTAGTGCGTTGCGCCCATCTGGGCCGCAGCCACGCGAAGCTTCCGTGATGACATTGCCGCTGATTTTCTGGTTTTCTTGTGCAGCTGTCAAGTCGTTATGTTCTCACATTCCCTCTTTTCACTGCTACTATGCAAACTTCAGTCCAAACTTATTCTTTTCGTCACGAGAAGGCGCTGAGCTCTTCTCCGAATCTCCAACAAAGTGGTGCTAGGTCTACCCCTCATGCATTGAGATCAGCGTGCAATATCCGTATCGTCCGTCCTATTCCCTGCAGCTCTCTGAGGTAGTCTAAGTTGGCGATAAGCGCCGATAGGCCGTCGGGTAGTTTGCCGTGGCTGCCTATCTTTATCTCAGATAGGCCTATTTATTCTTCGCAGGAACAGCATTATCAAGTCGACAGCTAGTGTAGATGTCGTCAATGACTCTGTAGATACTCCATACGGTGTCAAGGGAGAATCGAGAACAGATTGAGGCAACCCTACAAATTACCGAAGCGAAGTTTGTTATTGGTAAAGTACCGTAAAAATTGCTTTTAGCACACTGAGACACTTTTGCTGTCATAGCACCCTGAGGTAAAGCAACATGGAGGTTGATCTCATCATTGAGAATGCCACAGTGGTGAGTATTGCATGAATCATGTTGTACCAAGGACCCCATCCGCCAGATGACTGATGCAACAAAAAAATAGGTAACGGCATCTGATGTCCACTCGAGACAAGATATTGTGGTTCGCGACGGCAAAATCTTAGCTGTAGGCCAGGATCTCAAGTCTCTCTTCTCGGCCAAGACAGTGATAGATGCACAACATGGCTTCGTCATGCCGGGTGGCGTGGATTCCCACGTACACCTTGACCAGGTAAGAAATGATATACTTGATTTTCGAACAGAGCCCCCTGTCTAAACCAGTATCAGGACAACTCTCCAACAGGAGACAACTTTGAGACCGGCACTCGATCAGCGATTGCAGGAGGCACAACAACAATCATCGCCTTCGCTACCCAAGAACGCACCCACCAGTCTCTTCACCCAGTCGTAGACGACTATCACTCACGCTCCAGGGGGAAGTCATACTGCGACTATGGCTTTCACATCATTCTCACAAACCCAACTCCCACCATCCTTCGCGATGAGCTGCCATTCTTTGTTAGCGAGGGCATCACCTCCGTGAAACTGTACATGACCTACGAGCCCCTGCAGCTCAAAGACGGCGAAATTCTAGATGTCATGATGGCTACTCGGAACCTGGGCATGACAACCATGGTCCACGCCGAAAACAGCGACATGATCACTTGGATCACGGCCCGTCTGGCAGAGCAGAAACTCACTGCGCCGTACTATCACGCCATCAGCCGGCCCAACATCGCCGAAGATGAAGCAACGTACCGCATCATCGCACTCGCCGAGCTCTCTGACATCCCCATTCTCATCGTCCATATGTCGTCCAAGACCTCAACCGCGCACGTGAGGAGCGCGCAGACAAGGCTTCTGCCTATTCACGCGGAGACGTGCCCCCATTACCTCTACCTCACAGCCGACGCCCTGAAGCCGTCTCATCCGGCGACTGATGGCTTCTCCGGCGCGAAGCATATCTGCAGTCCGCCATTACGCGAGGACCGCATGGACTTGGACGCCATGTGGGCTGGTATCGCCAATGGTACGTTTACGACGTTCAGTTCAGACCACGCGCCGAGTAAATATGATCACCCCGAAGGCAAGAAGGCGGGCCTGGGCAAGGAAGATGGCTCGATGAGGTACGACCAGGTTCCCAATGGGCTTCCTGGCGTCGAGACGCGACTGCCGCTGCTATTCGAGGGCGGGGTGTTGTCGGGCAGAGTGACGCCGCAAAAGTTTGTCGAGGTCACAGCGACGAACCCGGCAAAGCTATACGGATTGGGAGACACCAAGGGCGCGATTGCCGCGGGATATGATGCCGACTTTGTCATTTGGTATCCAACAACTGAGCAAGTTGCTGCCAGCGGCGGGAGGGGCTCTGCCAAGATGGAGCCGTTCGTCTTGGAGAACTCGATGTTGCATCATGATATCGATTACTCGCCTTTCGAAGGAATGAAGTTTAACAATTGGCCGCGTTACACAATATTGCGCGGCAAAGTGGTTTGGGACCGGGATGGCAGCGGTATTGTCAGCGATATGGGATATGGCGATTTCTTGCGGCGTGGAAAGAGCACCCTGAGCAAGCCGAGGAATCAATGGGTGAACGAATTTCAACCTCTGCCCGCAAAATAGACTGTTGAGCCCCCATGTCATCAGCTAGCCATGTGAAAGTGGTTACGACCTTGACCGGCATTATCCGTTGATATATAATACATCACTTCAACATAATGAATAATAGATTGTGCATTATGTCTTGAATCTCATTACACCACTCGAAACGATTAGGACCACATCGTGGTTCCCTATCGGAGCCACGAACTTGATGCCGGTTGATGAGATCCCCACCAGGGCTAGTGAGACGACCTATACTTCACGCCTGGCATGAAGAGCACTTGAATATCGCTAACTTTAAGTAGATGACCTGCCTCTAGCAAATTGTTTGAGATTTTCAGCATTCACATGTCTGACACACGAAGCCAAGGCCCCAAGAGTGTGGATGGTTCAACGGCCGTTGATTCCCTTTCCCCACTTGGCGTTGTCTCTCCGAACTGGAGTCTGGGCGGGGCAGAGATGACAATGCTAGGATTGGTATGGACGGATCGCGGATTCCATCCAACAGCGTGGGCTACCGGAGCTGTCCCGGGCCCATGAAATCCTGCGGACCAGGTCCACGGAGCTGCAGCTATCCGAATGGGGTCAAATTGTGGCTGGCTTTCAAGTACCAACTGGTAGTAATCCTTGCTCTTCAAACTCTGCTTCACTTCAACGATGTCCACAAAAGGTTGAAACACTTCAAGTTTTTCAAGATCCCGCCTGGATATTTCGAAAGATCTGGACGGCCCAGGGTCATCCAAGCTATCGTCAGTCACCGTGATGATCGGATTTGCCGACTAGTAGTTCTCAGACGATCAGCGATGACTTTCGAGACTGTGGGACGGCGGGTGTCTTTTCGTGTTGTGGGCGGATAAACAGCCCACCTACGAGGAAGCAAACAACTGTGGAAAGAGGTCGGTCTTCTGCACGCTTTAGTCCGCATGCGGCTCGCATAACGATATCGAACAATGCAGTTGGTTCCAACAGGACCAACAACATCGAAGTCTGCCAAGCTGCGGGGGTTTGCCTGTTACCCGTGACTGTACAAAACCCAGCGTCATTTCCAGCCGCTGTGGCGACCATCTTGCGACGATATTTATTCTTCAACTCCACAGCAAAGACCACATTGTTGATCTCAGTCGCCAATAATCATGGTGGAATCAACTCCCAAAGCAACGGCAAGCCCGCCAACAGGCTCTCCCAAGCCAGCAGATTTTCCAAAGTCGCCAAAAACACCGCCAAAGTCGGCTGGTTCCCCCGCCGGCCCAGCGTCCGCGACTAGCCCAGCAGCAGCAGCAACGCCAGCGGCAGCGGCAGCAACACCGCCAGCAGCCACTCCAGCATCGGCGACGAGCACAGGAGCAACGCCAGCCCCCCAGTCTCCTCCCGAGGATGCCGAGACCCCGGTCACGATTGAAATTGACGACGGAACAACTGTACGTTCATTCGATTTGAAACAGTCTGCTTTCCGCCGCACAAAATCAGATGCTGACCCATTTCATAGGACGATGCGTCAACCATTGATGACAGAATGTACTGAAGCCCACAGACCCCGACTACTTCAACACGGCAATTTCCTGTCTCATAGGAAGAATACTTCCAGTTGCAACGTGTACTAATGATTACTCCGTAGTTCCTCATACACTGCATCTTTGTCATCTTCCGTTCTTGATTATCCTACTGAGTACGGCCGACGTTATCATGCCTTCCGATCTGGCGGTAAGTGCAAAATCTACATATGGACTCGTGACACCTGTTCTGGTCTTATGATAGATCACATCAAAGTCACGGGCACACATGAGCTACCTCCAAAAGCTTCAATTCATGCTAATCAATGAAACAGCCTACGTATTCCCGAATGATGAGGTACACCCTTCCACTTGTAGCAATCAATTCATGGCCACATAAACACTGACACAGAAGACTGCTCGTAGACTGAAATGGATAGACTTGATGTGGTTCACACATTACTCGTCAAGACCATTGGAAACCGACTCTTCCTTGCCCCTATTGATGAGCACAAGACTCATCGGATCCTGGATGTAGGCACTGGAACTGGAATCTGTGAGTTCTCGTGCTCTTGATCGCTCGCCGATACGACTCAGGCTTATCATGCTCTTTTACTTCGCAGGGGCTATGGAAATGGGTGATCTATTCCCAAATGCAGAGGTAAGTGAAACACCACAAGCGCGTAAATGTTGATTATTTGATCTCTAACAAAGACGCAGATCCTGGGAAATGATCTGAGCGCTATTCAGCCAGCGTGGTACGTCCACTCACCAAGTTTGCTCACACAGTCACTCTTGACCATAGACTAAGCCCACGATTGGTAGGGTTCCACCTAACGTCAAGTTCGAGATCGACGACGTCGAAAGCGAATGGATTGGAGAGGACAAGTACGACTTCATTTTCAGTCGTTACATGGCTGGCGCCTTGGCAGATTGGCCAACATATGTCAGACGAGTCTATGAGTGCGTATAGGTCCTGATGAGTTTTGATGTTGCCTCCCACACTAACAACGTCTCAGGAACTTGAACCCTGGTGGCTGGGCCGAATTCCAGGACTGGGATTACATGCTTTATTCGGATGATGGAACGACCGAAGGCACCGAACTCCTTCGCTGGATGGGCTACTTCATGGAAGCTTGCGAGGTCCTGGGCCGTGACGGACAGGTCGGGCCGAAGTTGGAGACGCTGGTGAGGGAGAATACCGGCCTGATAAACATCGTCCACAAGCCTTTCAAGATTCCCGCTGGACCTTGGGCGAAGGACCCTCACCTGAAGGACATCGGCATGTGTAATCTCATTCAGATGCTGGATGGCCTGGAAGCCTTCACCTTGAGACTCCTCTGTGGCGTCCTCGGCTGGACTAAGGAGGAGGTTCTGGTATTGCTGACAGGGGTGCGCACCGAGCTTAGAACTGGAAAGGCTCATGCTTGGCTGCACTAGTAAGTCTTTCCACCACTCAAGGCACGATGAGATTTTACACGGACTGACTCTCGTATAGTAATGTTGTGTACGGCCAAAAGCCAGAAACAGAGGAGGAATAGATGTAATACAACACGCATGGCGAGCACTTGAAGTATACTTAAGGTAGCTGATGATTTATGTAAATGAAAATTGAATGGACTACAAATGATGATGACTCTACATTTGTGGATAGTGTCTTCGGGACTTTTGAAAATCAGACTCGATTCGCGGCTCACGCCATCGGAATCATGACCCCTTTTCGGCTACATTATCTCCGTCATGTTTGGAATATTATTAGACTCAGTAGATGAATTCTTCCACCACAGGATTGGCGCGTTGCCGCCATGTTACGTTCCTGACGTAGCTCGTTACTTTCTGCTTCTCTCTGTGGACTAGCAGCCGACTTTTGGGTTGGTTTTCCTTCACTCCTGTTCAACGCCATCGCACAACCCTTGACCATCGACAACCCCTCGTACACCCAAATTAAGAGATTGGTAAAAGCTACCACTGGATCTCGCAACTAACGGGAGTCTCATTATTGTTACCCAGAATTCCTTATCTATAGCGCCTCATATAATTGATCTGATCCTCTCTTAGCTTCGTTCCGTCGTATGCTTGAAGTCCCTTTGTACTCGAATGGCGTGCAGGGGGATTTCGTCCTCGCTCTTGTCATCCCTCTCCTTGACTGGATAACTCGAGACCGAGTATCCAAACCCAGTGGTGTCTGGTCTCAGCTTGGAGTCCTCCAGAGGAGGTGTAGGCTGGCGGCTGGTGCCCTCGGATCCATTGTCGTCAGGCAACCGGTAAAAGGCATCTTCACCGGCGCCGTGCTTGGTCGTCGAGAGATTGCGGGCGATTTGTGAGCCGCCGTTGGTCGTGTGGGGGTCCTGCGAGGACATGCCGTTGCTGAAGTTGGACTTGTTCTTGCTGGAGCCGAAGCCCAGCGCCGTCGTGCTGCGGAACATGCCGCCCATGCTGCCCTTGAAACCGCAGGCTCGAACGATGCGCTGCACAGCGGGACGGATGGTGGGTAGGCAGGCGGAGACGATGCCGGCGGACATTTCGATGGCGGTCCAGCCGACTGTTGGGGCTAGGGTGTAGCTCGGGTCGGTGCCACTGTAGGTGAAAAGGACGCTCGTTCGGTATGCCGAAGTAAAGACAACGCTGCGATACGGTGAGCAAGACCGAGGGCTTATGTTTCTTGCGGAACAAGGCACTTACAAGAAACCGAGACCAAAAGCGAAGGTCAGGGCAATCTTCTCAGCTTTTTGCAGCTGCAGCTTCCACACCTGAGGAAGAGGCAGCAGCAAGATGAGAAGATCCGTGAAAATTGTCGAGGCTGCGTTGGCAATCCAGGTAGCTACTTGGTTGATGCATCTGCCCGGAATGTCGGGATACCAGAGCTTTTCGACAGGTACGCAGATAAAGATGAAGAGAAAGGTGATGCAAATGACCCAGGCGAAGACAAACGAGATGACGAACCACGTCATCTTCTTGAAGAAAGGGATGTGGAAGATGCGGTAGTACATCAACATCAAGCTAAGCTTAGTCCAGCCCAGGTTCCAGGCATAAAGGATTTCTGCCACAACGAGGTACTTGGCCATCAACACGATGTTGTCGACACCGACCTTGTCTGCGTGGAGGCCCATGCCCACAGAGTGCATCGCGAAGATGAAGCCAACAACAACAAGGTTCCATAACTACAACACAGTCAGCTCCAGTCATGTCTAAAGAGTCAAGCCTCTGGTTAGAAGCATCATGATAATGGGAAACGCACCATCGACCAGACAATCAGGTAATCATCCCACCACAGCTTCTGACCCTTCGTTTGACGACTGATGAGGCGAAGAACAACGGCGAGTACAGCGAGGACCGTCACCGAAACCACAACTTCGACGGTCCATGGCTGAATGTTCTGAGGGTCGTATCCAGGAAGGCCGGGCAACGGTGACGGGCCTGAGTCGGTCGACATCTTTTCTCGAGTAAAGTTTCCTTCACCTCACTGCGACGATGTGTTGAATATTCCTCAAGATACCGCGGGGAAGGGAAAACCAACTTCTCGGGAAATGGGGGTGGGAGGACCCAGCCTGATAGCTGCGAACAAAAGAAAGAAGGAGGGTCTGGTCAAGTGCCAACGGAATGGGACGGGTCAACGTGCATTCATCAATCTCTCTTCACTCCGAACAGATTCGCTTCGCAAGAGGACTCCATAGACTAGTGTAGAAGCAGGGCAATTGGATTACTTTATTCTGCCCAGGCACCGACTAGAAGGATGGGCAGAATCCTTCTGCAAGAAAGTGCCGTCCTATGTCCCTGACCCCTGAAAACAACGTGAAGCCTGTTAAGAGACGAGCCCCTGGACAACGTGGGAATGACGAAAAGCTAGGAAAACTGGGGTGCAAAGAACGGGTGTTCTTGGTTAAACACATGCAAGTGTGGTGAACACTATGCGAGGGTTTGATGGAACTCTCCGTTCGGCCGCCATTGCTTCATTCCTAAAACGGCGGCCAAGAAGAGGGCCGCATATATGTCAAACGAGATATGCAACCCAAAAGGGAACTCGATCATCCACAGGAGAAGCGACCGAGTGGGTGGACTGACAGGAAAGGATATCTGATAGACCTGCAAGGTTCACAAAAGAGGTAAATTCTTCGATGCCACGAGGGACGTCAGGCAGACCCCTGGTCTGTCTCCTGTCCATGTATGCACGCTTCTGTATTATTTCGTGCTTCAGTTGCTGCCATTGCTCGCCGCAACGTTGATCGCCTCGTTTCCCAAGCGAGAAAGGAAGAGAAAGTCCACAATAAGTGAGTGTTTTTCCACGCTTTGTGGACCGAGGTTGCTAGCGGCCAAAGGATGACAGGCCTCTGCAGGTCGAACGACGTTCAGAATTTCGGCGTTGTTCTCCACTGAATTATGCGATGCTCTGGGACGAAGTGACATGGTTGGATGGGGATCATCCCGGATTGCTTCGCCCGGTGCTGGGATCCGACTTAGAGGTGCCTCGAAAAGGCATCGGATAGCACCCCTCCTTCGGCTCTTCGAGTCTCCAAGAGACTAAGACGTTTTTGCTGTCGCTGCCCAGCTTTGAAATTCCCTGGTCGGCCCGGGGCTTGTGTTGTCGGGAGATTTTATGACGGCTGGGCCTTTGATTATGTGGTTGTTCTTACACATTGAATTCCGCATCCGGGTTTTGGCCGGCTTTGCCTTGAAGCTTGGAGCTTTTGCGAGAGCCAGGAACATCAGACTTTCCAACAAGGGCTCGCTTCCCCCCCTAGTCGAAGCCTCGGCAGCCGCATGCGTCGCAGATGAAATGCATGGCGTGTGGGATTGGGGGCGGCAGAAGGGGATCGAAGGAATGCCTCGCGTCAAATGATCGGCCCCGGCCGCTTGAAGAATTCCCGAATTTATCGCATCAGAGCCAGACATATTGTGCGTTTAAAGCCTGGCCAACCCGTCACCGTCCACTTTGCTCACAGACATTTCCGGCCTCCCACCCGCCTTATGTCTATGAAATACCGAACGGGTAGAAGAAACACTAGAGGAAGGATGTACCCGTCCCTCCCGACAGTTCGTTTCTCTTAGACGGGCGGGAAAGGGAATTGACTTTTGACTTTCAACGGTCCTGTCTCTTCCAAAACGACGGCGCCTTTATCAACCCTGACGCCACGAACCCGAAAATGGTATGAGATGAACCTCTCACCACCATACTGCGTAACCGCAACGCCATTCACAGCCGGCCCCGCTGCCGACGAGTGAACCCCCTTTCCAGCGGTAGGATGACCGAGCAAGAATGGCACCTCAGGTAGAGTCGTTCTCGGGTTCTTCGGTCGTCCGTCACAATAGCGCCAGCGAGGACGCTAGCTGGGGAGAACGTGGCCACTGCCAAACTAAAGCTGGCTGCTCATTTCGCCCCTCTAAAAGGAGACTCCGAGTCATGTCCCGTCCCTGTTGCCGATGTCTGTGCTTCGGCGATAGCACGAGTGACGAAAGGATATTCCTGGAAGACATCCAAGCCCAACGCGTGGTCGCTGATCACAACAAGCTCCCCTCTAGAGTCTGTCCCACTTGTCAAAAGAAGGATATTGTCGGATACCGTTGAGTGTCCCCTCCAAGGGACCAGGACTGGCGAATAATGAAGACTAGGTGACTTGTTCAGACTGGAGCCGTCCACGACCGTTTTTTCTGCCATCTCCACCTCACCGAGACAGGGACAGGCCTCACCGTGAGGCGACTCGTTCGGGTAAACCAGTCCGTGGTCTACTGCAACAGATGTTACGTTCAATTGGGCTTCCGAGGCTTCTCGGCGGAGTCGGCCGTTTGAGATACACCGCCGCCTCTGAAGTTTACCCAATGCAACCCGCAACTGGCGCCACGAGGGGTAGGATCTCCAGAACCCCTCAGGAGTTGCTTAGTACATGTAGAAATCTGCATCTCTTTCAAACCTACTACTAAACCTAACCTTTGTCCAAGCCACCTTCCTCTGACCTCCCGGAACCGAACCAAACTCAAAGCAGCTTGTTATACACTCGCAGACAGCAGAGCAACAGGGCACAAACGAACTTACACACACGAATCACATCATGGCAGCCACAACCACCATCCAAGTCCCCCACCTCGGCGGCATCACGGCCGGCTACCGCTTGTCCGGGGACAAGGTCGACCCCGCCAAGCCCACCGTCGTCCTCATCAACTCCATGTGTACAACCGTCTCCCTCTACAATGACCAGTTCAACAGCAAGACACTGACGGACGCCGTTAACCTGCTGGCCATCGAGCCGCTCGGCCACGGCTCCACCAGCTGTCCCGTCGAGCACTTCACCTACTGGGACACTGCCATCATGGCCCTGCAGGTCATGGACAAGCTCAACGTTCAAAAGGCTTTTGCTCTTGGCACGAGTCAAGGTGGATGGATGGTCACCCGTATGGCCATTTTGGCCCCTGAGAGGGTACGTTACGATGCCACGTGACATTCAATGGCCCCGTTACACTGTCACTTTGTTTCCCTGGGATCGCGATCCTTTTTCGAAAAAGAGGATCGTTGTTTTCCATGGGATTGAGTTTTCTGGACTGCGCTGAACTCCATCGAATCTAGATTCTGGGTCTCCTGCCCTTGGGCACGTCCATGGACTACGAGTCAGCCGACTCGCGTGTCAAGGGCTGCTGGGACCCTAAGGCCCAGCTCCTGGCCTTCTACGACGGCTGGTCCAGTGCCACACCGACGCCGGACTTCGTCGTTGACGATATCTGGTGCGGCATGGTTGGCAGCCTGGGCTTCTCAGGCACGGTCCCGCCCGAGACCCTTGAGTTCTGGACAAAGACCCTTAAGTCTGTCTACAAGGGTGACGAGGGCCGCAAGAAGCTCAAGATGGCCCTGGGTAACCTTCTGTCGAGAGACGGCCTGCTTTTGAGACTGAGAGACGTCAAGTGCCCCGTCTACTGGCTCCAGGTATGTGATATTACGGTCGAACGACTGGACTATCTTTGAGCGCCTCGCTGACCAAATCTCAGGGAACCGCCGACCCTGTTTTCGGTGTCAACATCCCCGATGAGCAGATCAAGCTCTTCACTTCCGCCCCGGAGGCAACGGTGACGTTGGTTGAGGGCGGTGGCCACTACTTGAACGCCACCAGCCCGAAGGAGGTTGAGGAGGCTCTGCTGAAGATGGTGAAGACGTACGCCTAAATACGATTCTTCGTTGTACTTTTTTCGGGATGAACTATGGCGTTATGATCATGAGTCGTGAGCACGATAGGCGAGAAAAGCCTGCAATACCAAATGGCCCCCAAGTAGCATGCTGGGCAAGAAGCACGTAACATAAAGTATTCGTAGCAGTGGTGGAAGATGAATGAAAATCCCAATGCTTGATCACATCTAGACGTGGTACGGGTGTTCCCGGTCAAAAATCCGTCAGCTCGGTGTCCAGTCCGTATCCCATCTGCCATCTCAAGGAGGAAACATAATGACATGTCATCTTGCCCAGGCGCCTAGTCGTCAGTCAGGGGGACGTCCACGTCGATCTAGCGATCCGAGCGTCAGCTATTGAAGAGCCACCTCAATTGCGACGTTGATAGACCCTCATCCAATGTGACCAGACCAATTGCCTCAACAGCGCATTGATGGGTGTCCTAGCCTCCAGCTTTTCAGTCACATTCGGCCATGGTCCGGTCGTGACACACGGACTGCCGTGAGGCTGAAAAGTCGTCGCCACACTGCCGGGCTGGGTTGTGATTCCTGTATGGCCGGGGAACCAGGTCCGGGTTGGCATTTTCATTAGAAAATAACCATAAAGCCGGGGCTTTGCTCGAATGGGGAAACACTGGAAACGGCGGGTAGCTGAGCGAGCGAGCGATTCGCAGCGAAATAGGCGACCCTACGCGTGTACCGCAGCGTTGGTTGGCTGATTGTCAGCCGATGAGTCGCACGAGCCAGAGTCGACCCGTTGCCGCGAGTCATTGAGAGGCAACTTGGACTTTCGTTGTAATTTATCAGAAATCATCGCCAAAGTACTCGCAACTGTTGAAGCTGATCTATCAGCAAGCTGGTGAACAGTGTGTGAGATATCAAATTTGTATGGAAAAGCCATCTGCCGCTCATGACATCAAGTCCCGACAACCTACCCCTACCTTATGGACGTGACCATTATAACTGCGATGACAGTGGCTGCTACCCCTGTTATCTTCACTGGCTACAGCATAGGCGCTCCTCAGTATAGCTACTCTAGAACACACGAATGCTCGCAAGGCAGCAGTGACCAGAAGGGGGAGTTCCTATGTCTTAGTGGTGGATTGCATGACTGCGCATAAGATGTGTGCTCTTAGATACTCGACGAGCGAACTCGTTTCCCAGGGAGTTGGAACCTTGGCTAGCTTAGGATAGACGCCTATCTTAAGTACTAAGGTGCCTTCCAACACCTAAAGCAAAACATTCACCGTACTTGTTTTCAACCGCAAGGACTTCTAAAGTAAGAGTACGTCATGCTTGCTTCCAGTTGCAAAGACGCGCCTATGACCGCCCTCAGAGAATATCAAGAATATTCCGACTCGATAATAGCCTTCGAGGCGACCCGCCGGATGAACGACGAGCCCCCAAACAGTCTTTGGATTCCCCATATTGCTATCTTTACAGAAAGAACATTGCTCTGTCCTTCGCCAGTCTTCATGATTGAAGACCGTTTCACCCTCCGGAAATGGGAAAGACCTCCCCGGCCCGTTTCGCAGACTGGAAAGGTATCGCAGTTTACCCCAGTTATTGGTCTTGAAACAACAACTAGAAGTCAACAAGAGCTTCATATGGCCCGGTTGCTGTATCGTAGCAGTGTCTACGGACCAGTCAAACATGCAGAGGCCACTTCCATCAGAGAAGTATCCGATCGGGGGGTTCCCCTTGCGTTTAGGTACCATATTCACATCTGAGGGGAAGTCGGCCAACGATGCATTCATTCGAAGGTATGAATCGGGATTGAGTCGACCGAACGGGCTGCGCCATTGCAAGTTCATATGATTCCCTGTGATGGTGTATTCGGCGCGAACATGGGTTGGCAGTGTGTCTGATAATGACATAAGCTTCTGGTTGTTTGAAGGCTTCTCTTGTGGCCTAGGATTTTCCACGTTGTAGCGCCGACATGGTAAAACCTCGAATGGCCGTAACTGAGAAACCCAACTCCACGACGGGCCTACGTAAGGCTTTTGGTCCCTCTTCTGTCGGAGTGTTGCCTCAAGGGTACCAACATCTGGGTTGAGCATTTCCCAAACAAGCCCGTGTTGCAGGTCATTCATCCATAGACCGGCGAGGTAGGTGTCTTCCGTAATCTTGGCACACTCCTCGGCCAATCCTGCTATGCCTGCCAAGAGGTCATCTCGGTAGCTCCACGATCTTGTCTGGATCTCCAATATCTCTTCCCATCGGGCGTAGGCGTCGCGCACTCTGCGCCATACTTCAATAGGATGAGCTGGCTTTGGCTCTCGTGCTATGTTGACGAGTGGTCTTAAGGACCCGTGAACGACTGATCCGAGGTTCACATATGAATTCTCAGATGTTGAGCCGTTCTCGCAGGCAAAGTGCCACAGCCCAGGCCCAATAAAGAGTAGTCTCGTTGACAACATGTTCTCCTGGAACGTCCAGCCCCTGGTTTCCCATACTGCCTGCTTCAAATCGTTTATCAGTGCCGACGAGTTCCAGATTGGCTTCCGGTCATCCGAAGATGGGTAGAACGTGTAGGTCCCGCGAATATTCTCGCGTCGTTTCGACTGAAATGGCACGTCGAGACCTGGTGCTCTTTCATCGAGGTACCCCTGCAGACAGGATGTAGACGTCAGTGGACAAATGGTCAGAGCCGAACAATAGTAGACACGACCCATGGTTAGGCTCTCTGTGTTCCAGTCTTCTATGTCTCCTTGAATGATGCAAAGGGCATCCACCCAAAGATATCGTAGACCGAGAGCTCTGCACGTGATTGCAGTGTCTCTCACAACAGGACTCATAGAGTCGAGTGATATACCCTCAAGGTGTTCTGATAAGTTCTCTCTGGTGGTTTTCAGCTGCTCAGCTGCGTCTTCTCTGGAGCCCCAGCAGTAACTGAGTGTCGCATATTCAACTCCATGAAGTTTCTCCTCATTTTCTTTGTGCAGGGCATCCGAAGCAACAAGGCGTGGGACGTCTAGGTCTGTGCTGCCAACGTCTATGAGCCTGGTTGGAATGAAGGCCGTGTCTGACTTGATGTGGTCACACTCGTCCTGGCATCGTTTGAGCTCGTACTTTATCCAATCGACATTAGCAGGGTCAAGCAACCGAGGGCGTCGCTTGTCGTCGACTCGCAACCAATCTGAGACGATGTCTAGCCCGGGTGGGAACGTGAGCTCGGGCAACTGCAAGCTTAGGAATACAAACACTGACCGTTGTCGGATTCGATGTTGAAGGTAATAGCTGCAAGAAACTCCTGTTCGGGGCGTTTGTATACTTCACATCGCCAAAATACAAGACCTTCCTCGTTCGGTTTCGAGCCAAATACATCTCTGTCAGCGCCCCATATGTATCCGCCATTGATGTAGACATCTCCTGCATAGTCTATACCGCGTTGAGTGACGTGTTTTCGGATGAAGGTGCACAGATGACAGCCTTTCTCAGAAGACTCGGCCAGCACTGACAGTAAAGGCAACGAGTCTTTCCATTGGCAAGGCGATCCCAACATGATCATTTCACCTTCGCCTTCGGCTTTGTGTCTCAGTGTTACAGAAGAATCTGACGAAGGGTACTCTCCTTCAACGAAGTCATTGATGCTATCATCCAGTAGCACGGGGAGACATCTTTCGCACAGGGCTGGACCTTCCAGCGCCCCGAGAGTGACAGGCGGCGAAGGCGACATTAATTTTTGAGTTGTGAGAGTAGAATTGCTCGTATTAATCTTTTTGGGTGCATGAATGAAAACCAGAGGAAGTATTCACAAACGTTGTTGGAGCACCTCACGGCGAAGTCATGATCACGGTGTTGTCATCGTTGTTGCCTAGCCTTTGAATGAGTGATTTGTTCCAAAGCGGGGAAGGATCCCTGCTCCATTCCTTGCAACGGCATTACACATCATCGATGCATGATCAACACATGGCATTGGTGGGCGGTTCATCGCAGGAAGCGAGTTCATAGCTAGGTACCTCGTCAAATGCTATGGCTTCAGTGCACAGGAAGCTCTTATACGATTAAGGCGCCCGAAAGTGGTTGCAAGAGAGGTTATTGACTCTTGTTTCTGCTACTTCTCAGTCGAGCTCTTTTTTGGTCCGCATGAACTTAGAATAGAAAAAGTGAAGACCAAGAAGTACTCCGATGGCAGATATCCACCACATCACGAACAGGAGTCCGCTCATCTCCAAACCAATGTAGTACTTATTCGAGTACCTCGTCACGAACCCAGTCCCCCACGTCCAGGCAGCAATCAGCATCGCCAATTCAGGTCTGCTCTTCTTCAGATCCACCTTGAGCGTAGAGCCAGTGGCGAGTCTGAGTAACGGATAGAGGCCCCAGGCAATGAAGCATGCCAGCTCGAGATGCAACCCAACGACACTAAGACTCTCCCTAACACTCTTGATGAGCGACGAACAATCGGGCGACGTGAAGGGGAGAAGAACCCCCCATAAAGCCTGTCTGTGCAGTAGCCCGCCTCGTAAGAGCTTAGAGTACGCAATGCCGACAGCCACAACATGTGCCACCCTCGCGTGGAGATACTCGGCACATCCCAGAATCCAGACCAGATAGGCGACAAGCGCGGCAGTCTTCCGCTTCTCAATCGCCCTAACCCGAACCCCATCTACACCCACCCCTCTCCTGCTTGTGTTTGGATCTTCTGGCCTGACATGGGTGTTTCCGTTGATCGAGCCCAGTTCTGCAGCAGCGCCGACCAAGACACGCTGCAAAATGGTAGTCCCAATCACATCTCCGAGAAGTTTCCACACCCCTTCAGACGTAAACACCCTTCCAAAGAAGCCAACTTCAATCTCCTCCTTGAGGAAAAGCGCTGGACTGCCCACAGCGAGTTTCAGAGTCGCGATGGGGCCCCCGAACGCGCCCACGCCCAGCGCGGGCGCGAGCATCCTCCTAACGTGGTTCATCAGCACAGCAAACACCACGACCGCGAAGCTACGCGCGTATCCACCGCCAACTAGTGCCGCAGCTGCTGGTGCAAGGCCCGATTGTCGCGAGTGTGAAAGGAGACGCGCGAGCCGAGATTGATCGCCTACACAAAGCCGTACAAGTTGGTAGAGTTGTGCCAGCGCGCTGAAAGATGCTGCTGGCACCAGAGAGAATGGGTCGTCGGAGAGTGGCCCGTCCGTAGCTTTCGGGCTTTTGTGCCGGGAGGTCATTGAAGAGAGTTGTTGCTGCGGTGGCGTCGCATGCTTAGACGCTGTCGGCGATGGGTTGAAGCGAAGCGCGTCTGACCTCTCCGGCGGTCGCTGGCGAGAGAGTGAGGAATCAACCATCATGAGCTGCGCGGTGCTTTGCGCGTTGGGAGTTTCATCAATGAGTAAGAATGTCCACTGTACAATCTCTGGAACAAGATTAAGAACTGGGGCAGGTCAATTGAAGCGGTCAAAACGAATGTCTGAGGCAGTGGTTGGATGATCTGAGGCCGAATGCGTGAAAAAGCCACAAACACAGATGAGTTTTCCTTTTTCCTGCTTACTCAACGCCAAAGAAGACTAGCTCACTGAGCCGTGAACCCACCAGCCACGTCCAACAGCCGGAAGTAAACAGAATGAGGGCGTTCGATCTCGCGACTTTGCCCTTCTTTTACTTTAACGCTCCAAGATGAACTCGAATGCCTTCTTAGGCCAACAGGCGTGCGTTGTTCCCTCACGGCGTCAATCCCCCGCCAGGCCCCATAAATCCCGCGCCGGAGTGGGGTGAGTCGGGGTAATTTGCGTCCAAAAAGACGGATGCCAAATCGCCGCGCCGAAGGTTAAAGACGAATGCGAACCCGGTACCGATCGGCTCAAGTTAAACGCGTTTAAGATGGATTATTCGTATAAATCTGAGGGCCAGGCATCAGCGCTTGGGTATTCTGACTAGTTTGAGATCTCCTAGAGTTGTCCACTTGAGCATTGTCTGCATTCGATGATCGCGTTGAGACTTCCACCTCACTCAAGATGGCCTCGAAACTTCAGCAGCCCGACGATTCGCCGTCGCTCTGTGTCTCATATTCCCCTGGAACTCAGTAACATTTTTATTTCCCAGGGATTCTCTATTGAAATTTGGTCCGACTTGAAGCGTTGAAGCTACCACCAAGCTAGACATGTCAAATCCAGCTTACGCTGTGTCACCGTTTCGCAGATTATCGTCCAATCTCTCTTGTGCCTGGAGGATTGCGTCTGAAGGATCGTGCATATCGTAGCGTACACGTGATGAGACTAGCCCCTTGCCCCTCATCCATTCAACTCATCTCATTGTCAGCATCAGGGCCAAATCTCATTCTCACTCACATTCTTCATTCGAAACTCGCAATCACATCGTCAAGCCCGTCTCACGAAACCGCCGCGATGGGGCCAATCCTCACCGGGCTCATCGCCCTCCCGCTCCTCTGGATCGCGTCTCAAATATGGACTCTCTACACAAACTACAGAGCAGCTCTCACCGTAGGCTTGCCAATCATAATATGTCCTTATGACCCAGAAAACGTAAGCTCATTGATATCGTCTCATTATCCCAATCTGCAGCCTCTCAACTGACACACTTCAAGCTCATCCACGTCGTCCTCTCCGTTCCCTTCCGCCCTCTGCTCAAACGCCTCCTCCCGCCAACCTTCTTCGCCACAGTAGAACTCACCATCGTAGGCTGGGAATTCCGCGATAAGTCCGCCGTTCACGACCGCGTCGGCCCGGCCTTCATGCTCGTCACCACGGGTCTCAACCAGCTCATCTGCGCCGACCCGACCATGGCGCACGCCATCCTGAACGGGCGGCGAGAGTTTGTCCAGCCGGACATCGTGTGCAAGGTCATGGGCTTCTTGGGTTCTAACATCTTGACTGTACGTTGAGTTCCTTTCAAAACCTAGCCTGGAGTTCAACTCTCAGATTTGTAAAGCCTCATGGATGCGCAAAGTCTGGTTATGCTGCGTCCACCTCTCCCTACCGAGATTGAGCAAAGACCTTCATGCTGATAACCATCTTCTCAACTTCCAGTCCAACGGCGAATCTTGGTCCCGTCAAAGACGCGTCGTAGCCCCCGTCTTAAACGAACGCATCAGCCCAGAAGTCTACAAAGCAACAGCCAAACAAGCAGAATCCTTCGTCAACGACATTCTCTCATCCCCTTCCACCAGCACCTCTAGTCTCATCACAACAACAGCAACAACATCAACAACAATCCAAGGCCTCCGCACAATCGCAATCAACGTCCTCACAAAAATAGCCTACGGCGACAACAAACCCTTCGCCATCACCCCTCTCCCCGGCGACCCCTCGGCACCAATGTCCTACGTCGACGCAATCTCCCTCTGCACGGAACTCCTCGACCTCGCGGCATTCATCCCGATCCGCATCCTGCGTCTCCCCTTCATGTCAAGCGTCGTGCAGACACTGGGGGCGGCGTTACATCGACTGCCTGGTCTGACGGTGGACATGCTGGATCGCGAGAGGCAGCGGTTGGCCGAGGTATCATCTCTGAATGGTCCTTTGGACGAGGTGTTGACCACGGCGACGGTGGGAAAGACGGATACGATTATGAGTATGCTGGTCCGCCTCTCAGACCAGGAAAAGAGCCGCGCCGTTGCCTCGGATGAGGGGCCTCCCTCGAAAGCTAGCACTAGCATCAACAACAGCAATATCAATCCCAAATCATACCTTACAGAAGAAGAAATCGCAGGCAACCTCTTCATCTTCACCGCCGCGGGCTTCGACACCACGGCAAACACCCTAGCATACGCCGTCACCCTCCTCGCAGCATATCCTGAGTGGCAAGCCTGGATCCAAGCCGAACTCGATGCCGTTCTGGGCCCTCCCACGCCATCACCATCGTCCTCGCCGGAGCAGGAGGATCGAGAACTACCGGACTACAGTGTCGTCTTCCCGAAACTTACGCGGTGTTTAGCTGTCATGGTGAGTTATTCCACTGATCCTCACTCTACTCGTTACGCGCTCTGGCTCTCTTCATATACCTTTGTCTTCGGACTTCCTATCCACGTCTCCCTCTCCCAGGAAAACCAGACCTGTTTCTCCTCAAGAAGGTATCCATAGAAATGAGCAACAAGATATAAACTGACAACACCCTCAAGTTCGAAACCCTCCGCCTCTTTCCGCCCTTGACCCATCTAATGCGTTCAAACATAACAACCCAAATTCTCCCCAGCCAGATCCCAACTCCAACGTCACTACAGTCCTCAACATCAACCTCACCACCATCCACAACCACCTCCTCATACACTTTCCCCCCTTGCACAGTCTACATAAACACAGTAGCCCTCCACACCTCCCCCAAAACCTGGGGTCCCGACGCACTATCCTTCAACCCAGCCCGATGGCTCACCATACCCCAGTCATCCTCATCCTCATCCCCATCACAGTCCCCTCACATCCAACCCGCCCGCGGCACATTCCTCCCCTGGTCCTCCGGGCCCCGCACCTGTCCAGGCCAAAAAATGGCCCAAGTCGAATTCGTCACCGTCCTCGCGACCCTCTTCCACAAATGCACCGTCGAGCCAGCCCCTGGAGTCCATGAAAGCGGCAATACTCAGTCAACAACACCCGAAGTGGCAGCACAGGCTACACAGGGACTATTGGACTTGATGCAGGATAGCCAGCCTAGGTTGACCCTACAGATGAATCGTCCCAAGGACGTACGCCTGCGGTGGACGCGGCGGTGATAGTAATCAGGAGATAGAGCGTAGATATCAACCAGAGTCACGAGATAGGCGCAGACACGCGTTTCAAGAAAAGGATAATTCAAGTTCTATTTTGATGAATCAATACCCTGAAAGCATTGTTTTCCATGGACTGGAGTGCTGTGCCATGCTTTTCCGCTTGTAGCTATTCAACGCCATCCCATCCGTTCCCGCCGGTATTCCAAAACTCTTGGCGGCTTTCAACTAAATTCCAAATCATTGCCTGGTTCGTTCGTCCTCATCGTACAACGCGTCTTTAACATCCCATATCTTAGGGACGTATGAGGCAAAGGTAGTACAGCAGGCTCATCGAAGGGGCCAATTATGCTACATTGAGCCAGATTCCCGTTTCCCGTTTTTGACAGATCTCCTGGACCTCTAGCTCTTTTCGTTTTCCCACCAGTTCCTGGCGGCGATTGGCTTGATGATTGACAGATTCCTCAGCCAGCACGATTTCGTAAACTGCTCGCTCGACCAAAGCCAGGTAACCATTTCCGCTTGTGCAAGGGTGCGCCACCACTCGCAGAGTTTCTCGTGGGTGTGGTTTCTGTGGAGCCGGACGTTCCATTTGCGTTCGGCGTGTTCGAAGCGTGGCTTGCCATAGGTGTTGTCGGGGCTGCAGGGCTATGATCATACACAGGCGCACCCTCGTCAAAGCTGCCAGAACGAGCCGGACGAGGGTTTCGCAAGATGGGAGGCGGTGTCGCGCTGGCCCTGTCTTCCTCGCCCGGATGATTTCGCTGCACCCATGATGGGACACCCATCGGGGCTTGAGTCGCAGTTGGTGCGGGTGGCTCGGCTGCTGTTGACGCATGTTGGGCAGGAGTCGGAGCGGAGCTACCTCCGATGGATCGTCTGAAGAAGTTCAATCGATGCCCACGGGGCGCGGCAGTCGAGGAAGGGGGATAGTGGCTGCTATCCTTGGAACGAGCACCAGTCTTTGAATCATGCTGTGGGCTATTGGCCACTGCCTCTGCCAGCTGGATCATTTGCACATCAACACTGTTGCGCCTAGATCCGCTTCGAGAAGGTGATTTGCGAAGTTTGCCGTTAATGGGCATGTTCTTTGAGGAAGTCTGGCCTGTTTTAGCACCCAGGCTCGACCTCCTATTCGGCGGAGGCAGGGGCTGGACCCCGTCTTGGAAGAGGGTATCCTCGGCCGGATTACGTTGCGGCGGAGGGAGCCCTGGGACCTCGAATGCACCACCAGACGAGCCGAACATGCCAGCTGTGTTCCATCCACCTGACGGAGGAAAGCTGAACAGGTCCGGAGACTCACTCCGCTGTTGCGCAATGTACTTTGGGTCCTTGCCTTGCTGTAGCCAAATATCGAGACTAGAGTCAAGGGAGTGCATTGAATCTCCATCCGAGTCCCAGTCCAGTTCTCGGTGGTTCGATATCGTTGTTTCATCTGCCGACCTGGGGCGAGGGATCAAAGGCGGTCGCGAGTCGAAGTAATGGGCACTGGCTGGCTCTTCGTGTCTAATAAATGCAGAAGATGAGGGATGTTGGAATACCGGTGCACCTCCGCCGTGCTCCCCCTCATCATCCTTCGACGTTCCTCTTGACACCGAACGATAGCTATGTTGATCCGAGATAGCTCGTTGCTTCGAGAGCGTGTCATTCGACGTCTTGAATCTTCGAAGTGTCGATGTGGAAATGGTGTCTGGTGTCGGAGGAAGGCCTTCACCTGGTCGTGAAGCTGGCGCATCTGTTGTTACTCTCCGCAATGCTTCACGCTTCGCGTCCTCAATCTGCTTCTGTGACTGCCCTCTTCCTGCCATCGGAGAGGAGTCTTGGGCGGGCAGACCGTCAAGGTACGTATGATCGAGCCTCGCTAGCTTCTGGAGAGGCGAGGTGTGGTCGATGATGTCGTGAAGCGACTGGAACTGGCCTGGACCAGGAGCTCGACTGGTTGAACTGGATCTACTCGGGCGACTGGATCGTGTTGACGTGGTGGTCGGTGGTCTTTGTATCCTAGACTGGTCGCTTCCGTATGAAGCCTTTCGAGGTGGCTGAGGTAAAGCACCATCCATAGAGTGTGGCTCGTCTGCATCGGCCACAATCGTTCGATCCTGGTCCTCTTTCTCGCCATACACACTTACAAAGGAACTTTCACTGAGGACACTAAGGCTCGGGCTCGTCATGCCATTACCACGCCGCGGATCCGTCTCATCCACCCCCTCCGTGTTGAGCCTTGGTAAGCTGAGTAGGCTACCGCGCGAGCTGAGGTAGACTTTTCGTAGGTTCTCGGTATTTTCGGTATAGTCCGATAGGAAACTCGGCATGCGGTTGAGCGTCTTAGCATCATCTTCAAGTCGTGCCAGGTCCGCTATTCTAGGCTTGGGCGTGGGGCTTCTGAGGCGAGATTCGAGGTGGTCAGGAGGTAGGAAACCGGCTGCGTCGACCATTCGGACCATTTCCCGTTCCTTTAATAGTGTCTCGACCTGGGCCTCAAGAGTCACTATCATCTGGACTGCCTCCTGTACAGCCTTGTCTCGCTTCTCTAACTCGTTGAGTAGCCTGTCGTTCACATCGTCTATCTGTGCTTTCTCGGACTCGAGGGCGTCGACACGCTCTTCGAGCGCATTTTGTCGTTCACGGCGGTGGAAGAGCTCGAGCTTCAGGTCAAAGTTTTGCTTGTGCAAGGTGGAAACAGTCTGTCGAGGCGGATATCAGCAAGGTTATTGTACAAACATGACATCGAGGATTACTTACTGCTTCCATCTCCTTGGCGCCCATGCCTTTGCCCTTTGTAGACTCTCCATTGCCTCCACTTGATCTTGGCCGACGTCCATCAACGGACTCGCCTTTTACGGGTGAGCTTTGGGCATGTCGTGGTGGAAGTTCTACGGAGGCGGCCATGTCTTGTGTTGACCGTACCGCGGCCAATCTGTCGGCTTCCTCTCGTCTCCTCTGGAGTTTGTCCTGTAGATAGGTGGACGCGGCGCTCTGCCTTCCAGAGTCGGAGACCCGGTCCCTTGATACAGCAGACCCAGGTCGAGAGGTCACCATCGACGGAGTGCAAGAGCTATGATGGAACTTGTGGGGAGGGTGAGCACTGGGTGGTCGCGGGGAGGTAACGAACTGTGAAGTCGAACTATTTGCGCTTCGAGGGGTCCGTCGGGTCGCACTGGTACTTGTACTTGATCTCGAAGTTGGACGTGGGTAGACCGGAGAGGGCAGTGACCTCTCGCGGTCGCGCGATTGTGTCCGCGCAAGACTGTCCATCGTGTCTAGGGAAAAGAAACCACTGCGTCCTGTGCTTGATCCGATTGCACGAGAACAATCGCCCGTATGCAAGTCGACCTAGAATTTCGTATTATCGAATGGCTCTTTGGCCCAAAAGATCACGCCAGCAGTCGGATTGGAGTGGTGAGTGACCGATTTGGGTGACAGCAAGGCGTCGTGAATCAGGATGATGCCTGTTCGAGGTGCAGAAGCGCGAATGGCAGTTGCGTCGAGCTAACGCAGCTGAAGGGGGGATGAGCACGGGAACGGCAATCGACGTCCTTGGTAACTGAATAATAAGGAGAGGAATCCCTGGGAACGGCGCAGCAGCGAGAGCAAAATTGCAGTGTTGGCAAAGCCGCCGAGTCGTGGCTGTGGATGCGCTTTGAAGGTATAAGAGAGCTGCTATTGCGAGAGAACAGGCCGGGACCTGGTTTCTGCAGCTTTGGGCCTACGCGACTGCTGATGGCGGCATGTGGTGGAAGTGCCGTGGAATACTCTTTCTGGGCGATACGGAGTATTGAGGGGAGAACCGACAGGCTGTCTAGACAGGAGGCTTGCGTTGCGTCGGATGGCTCGCCATGAACCGATGGAAACGTGGAAACGCAGGCCAAGCGGGCGAACTCTCGAGTCGGGTCTTTTCTCTCCCACAACGTCGGATCGGCAGTTGGGTCCAGCGTTGGAGGTTGGGCCGTGTCGCAGACGTTGTACCGCCGCAGCGCGATTGTCTGTCGCGATGGCGCAGGAATGTCTCAATTGACGAGGGGCAGCGATACTGGAATGTCTCAATTGCGTAGTGCTCGGTGGGACAAACGGAGAGTCCAAGTCGCAAGAACCCAGACAAGCTGACGAGAGAGGCTGGGAACGCAGGGCAAGGAACGAAATACTGGGTATCTGGAACTGAGCTGAGGTAGTGAATGTCGATGGTGGTCAAGATGATGTTGATGATTGTTGGCAACGAGATGGAATGGCCTTTAGCCAATTGCCACAGTCAATGTCGTGTTCGCGAGCAATGCTGGTGTTGCGATGGACAACAATGTCGGCGTCGTCTAAGAAACGACAGGCGACCTGGTCGATAATGGTGGAAAAGCAGCTAGACACCTAGAGGACCTCGCTCCGAAAAGAGACCCTTGAGGTCCAGGGAGCAGATAGCGACCGATCGACAGGGCTATCTCGGGGGTGTTCTGTTGGCCAATTGAAGTTTAGCGATGCGAAGACGGCGACCGGGTTCGTTTCTTGGTCAAGATGGCTGATGATAGTGGTGGCAGTGGTTGTGGTGGCCCTCGCACAAAGAATCTGGCGATGGCAGTTCGTGGGAGGGATAATGGAGAATGGCGAGAATGACGGAGCAGGTAGCACATTTCTTTCTGTGCCCTCTCTCTACTGCGAATGATCGGCCGCGAGTCGGAAGAAGAAAGAGAGACACGGCTGGCGGCGCAAAGGGAACCTTGGGTGACGGGAATACGCACACGCAGGAGAAGGAAGGGGAAGGGCGTCTGATGCAACGGAACAAATGTGACGAGGGTAGCTGCAGGGGGCTTAAGGGTGTGGAACTGTGTGGATGTGACGGGACCAACTGCAGGCACGCGGGGAGCCAAAGAGCAGCAGTTCCAAGGTTGAATTATTCGCCAATGGGCAGCAAAGCGAGTGACAAGATGTGGGAGACCGCAGACCCTTGTAGGTGAAGAGTGGGATGAGGTGGGATGTGATGGATCAGACTCGATGGTTGGACAAAGGTAGGAGATGCGCAGCCGAGCGAAAGACCAATAGGTGCAAGGATCGCGGTTGGGGGGGGGGGGAGGTCGGGCGAAGGCCGTTGGAGGACGT